ACTTTTTTCACTATTGAATTTCATTTTGTTAAATAGCCCCAATGTTCAAGTCTGTCAAGATCCTTCTGTATCTTAAGCCTATCTTCCAGAGTGTTGGCTACTCCTGGCTAGCTTGGTGTTGTCCGCAAATTTGAGAAGTTCCTCATCTATCCCCTCATCCAAATCATTGATGAATATGTGGAAGAGTACTAGGCCTAAAACAGAGCCCTGGGGTACCCCACTGCATACCTTCCTCCATCTAGATGCAGTTCCATTGAGGACTATATGTTGAGTGTGGTTGGTCAGCCAGTTACGAATCCATCTGGTGGTGATGCTGTCTAACCCACATTTTTCTATATTATCAAGTAATAGGTTACGGTCTACTTTATCAAATGCCTTACTGAAGTCCAAGTAAATTATATCGACAGCATTCCTCTGGTCCACTAGTTTTGCACTTTGTCAAAGAATGCAATAAGATTAGTCTGGCATGATCTGTTTTTGACAAATCCATGTTGGCTTTTGGTTATTACTTTGTTTACTTCTAGGTGTTCACTGATTCGTTGCTTGATTATCTTTTCCAGAATCTTCCCTGGTATTGAGGTCAGGCTGATGGGTCTGAGTTTCCTGGATCTATTTTTTTTTTCCTTTTTTGAAGATGGGAACAATATCAGCTCTTTTCCAGACCTCTGGCAGTTCCCCGGTGCTCCAGGATATTTGAAAGATATAGTTCAGTGATTCTGAGATCACATCTGCCAGTTCCTTCAGAACCTTGGGGTGTAATCCATTTGGTTCTGGTGATTTGAACTCGTCTAGGGTAGACAGGGGCTCACTTAAACATTTTTCCCTATTTTAACTTGTGTTCCTAATCTGTTTTTTGTGGTGCTGTTTTTGATTGGTTGGACTGTTTTTTTTTCCATTTGTGTAAAGACAGATGCAAAAAATGAGTTAAGTAGTTCTGGTTTCTTCCTGTTGCTTGTCACCTTCTTGCCACTTTCTCTCAGCAATGGACCAATTGTTTCCTTGACTTTTTTCTTGTTTTTAACATATTGGAAGAAGCTTTTTTTTTTAACTTTTGTCGCAAGCCTTTGTTTGTTGTGAGCTTTAGCTTTCCTCACTTCATCTTTGCAGGGTTGAGCTATTTGCTGATATTCTGCCTTAATTATGTGGCCCTCTTTCCACTTTTTATACTTGTCCTTTTTGTCTTTCAATTTGTCAGAGAGTTCTTTATGCAGCCATGCTGGTTTCTTTTGAGATCTGTTATTTTTCTTCTTCATTGGTATTGTGCTAGACTGGGCTTTTATAATCTCACTTTTCAAAATTTCTCAAACTTCTTGAGTTGTTTTTCCCTTGAGGATTCTCATCCATGGAATCCTTCCCAAGCTCTCTCTAAGTTTATTGAAATTAGCTATCTTAAAGTCCAAGACTCTAGTTTGACTTTGTTCTATTGCTTGTGCTTGCATAATGTTAAATTCCAATATTGCATGATCACTCCCCTCAAAGGTTCCTATAGCATCAACACCTTCTATCATTTCATCTCTGTTAGTGAGAATTAAGTCCAGTATGGCTGATCCCCTTCTCTACTTTTTGGGAAACAAAGTTGTCTGCTAGGTTTGTCAGGAACCTGTTTGATCTTCCACTTGGTGCAGAGTTTGTCTCCCAGTTGATGTCAGGTTAGTTAAAATCCCCCATTACTATTGTGGCGTGCTTCTTACATATTTTAATTAACCGACTAGCAAAAAGTTCATCTATTTCCTCTGTTTGATTGGGTGGCCTATAGTATACACCTATGGCAATGTCATTTTTCCCCCTTTAACATTGACCCAAATGCATTCAAGATAATTTTCATCATTGTTGTGCTCTATTTCTGTAGAGATGTAGTTATTTCTTATATATAGTGCAACTCCACCTCCTCTTTTATTTGGTCTATTTCTTTTAAATAATTTAAACCCCTCTAGCTGTACGTTCCATTTGTGTGTTTCATCCCACCAAGTTTCCATAATGGCAACAATATCTGCCCTCATTTACTTGAATTTCTAATTCAAATTCACCCTGTTTATTTCTCATACTCTGTGCATTGGTGTATAGACATTTGAATCCATTTTGACTGACCTTGTGTTTACTTTCTACATTACCTGTGTTGTTCCCTACTGCCTTACCACCTGTTTGATTAGTGCACATGGTATGGGACTCGGTATTAAATGCATGTTTTTTCTTGACAGCAAGGTTGATTTCTTACCTGCCTTAACATCGATGTTACATGCACTGATAACCCTATTAATTTTAGATTGCTAGGGACAGAAATGTTCTGTATTAATTAATTCTCTGTCCTAGTTGTTCAGTTTAAATGGACTCTTGCCACCGGGCCACTCCTAGAAAAATAAGTTTTTGTAAAAATAATCTATAAATGGGATGGATTGGTTTTTTCCTGTGTTATTGCTATGATATCTTCTTCCTAATTCTAAAAGAAATTAGCATTTCCTTTTTAAAAAATTAAATGAATGCAAAAGGAGACATTAATTAACAGAATGTATAATTCATCACATCATTAACAATCATTTTAAGAACTAGCAACTCAACTGATCTATGCAAGGGCATCTGATTGTTAGGCAGATTGAGAAGCTATCATGACTATGAGGAACATGAAGCTACTCCTGTTTAAAAGTTGTGGCCCACAGTCTCTGTTGTATAGTTTTAGGGACATGTAGTCTTATATTAGGGATATTTCATTGCTTAGAATGGATGATGATTGTCTGATTAGTGCTGAATAAAATGCATTTGCCTCAGATTTAGGCAAGGAACAAAAGCTCATGAGCTGTTCTGAACTCTTTGTGGTTTAGAGCCCTCCTCACATACAGCTAAGATCAGAGGTATTCAATTTCAGCCTCTTTAATTATCAAATAGAGTGACATCTCTGCATTGTCTCTGACTGCACAATATCAGAGTCAAAATAAGAAAACACAGTTCCACAAGTCCCACAAAAAAATTCATTCTCCTTGCTAAGGCAATTCATGTAGCTACTGGAGAATGGATATACTGGAAAGGATGGCAACATGTTGGCAAAACGTGAAAGGCAGAATGTAACAAAATGGAACCTTTCTCTGAGCTATATATGCAATTTAATGACCATTAGAACATAAAGTCAGACTTTGCTAAGTCTTTTACTGGTTCTTGTTGCATATTTCCATTAACCTGCAACAACCCATCAGCCTGCAATCTCAGCAGATATTCACTTTGCAAGTGTTTCTCATCTGGTCAATATCTTGGACAAGGACAGGAATTGGCCTCAAAACTTTCCCTAGTTTTCTGCTGTTAATGCTGCTGTTAATGATTTAATTGTTTGCAGTTACTTAAGGAGGATTGTACAAAGACTGTGCTGCATAAAAAGTAAAATGACCAAGGGGACTGAACCTGAGCAGGTAATACTATTAAATCCCAAAGAAAAGTTCAGGCAGGAAAGTTGTAACATTAGCAGCATTGACTTCCTGAAACAGCACTTCTGAAGTTAGACCTAATATCAACATCCTCAATATATTTTAATTAAAATAATTAAATATCTAGAATAATTAAAGACTAAATAACTAAAGAAGCTATTTCCCAAAGAAAATAAAAGTTATGCAAACTCTAACATTATTAGTAATGGATGCTTATTTGCAGTTTGTAGAGTTCTGCAAATCAACTTTATACTGACAGTTACTCAATTGTCCTTTAAATGCCCTTATACTAGCCTGCATAATGTTCACTAATTTTATTTTGTATATCTGTATTAATGGGAAATCACAGGTCGTTTCTGAAAGGATCAGTTGAGAACATACCAAGAATTAATAAGGTATAGAGCAGAAACTTCAGTTTAAACATTAGCATTCTGATCTGACTGGTGATGATGATGCTATTCATTCAATTTGTATTTGATTTTTGGTGATTCTGTGAACCAGCTCTCCACATTTTCTGATCTTCTGCAATGTATTTCAGTTGTTTTATGCTCCAGCTGATGTTGGTTTGATGCTCTCTAGCCACCATGAATTTTGGCGGCCTTGTTTCCTTTTACAGCTTTTCTCACTAAAGGTGTTTTCAAGTTTGACAGGAAGTCATGTCCAAGTCCATTTTAAAGGCCATAGGCAATCAGCAACAGTTAGCAAAAAGACTAAACAAGCACATAGATCAATAGGAAGCAAGAATGTTGGGGTGTATGAAAGTATGATTGCCAACTCTTACCCCTAACTATCCTTGAGTCATTTCATTAGGGGGGAAAAAGCAATTCAAATAACTCAACCACAGATTGGGATAAGGAATACATCACCACACATCTCCCACAATACACTTTCATGGAGGGAGGAGGAAGAGGAAGAGGGAGGAGGAGGAGGAGGAGGAGGAGGAGGAGGAGGATTGAAGCTAGTGTACCATGAAGTGCTAGAGAAACCAAAAGGGACATGGCAAGGAAAAGTATTACATGGCCGGTATATTTTAAAAAATAGCAGGCAAACTAGATAACAAGACCTGACAGTGGCTAAAAGCAGGAAAATTAAAGAAACAAACAGAGTCTCAAATTCTGCTACACAAGAGCAAGCCAAATACTGAAAGACGACTGGATAGCTACATTCTTGGCTGATCCTCTCTCACAGCATTAAAAAAAAGTGGGGGGGGGGAATTGGCAGAAATCTAGGGACCCAGGAAAGAAAGATGAGATGGTGGGGAATATTGCCACTCTAGTTATAAGCAGAATAATAAGTAAATCTATCTTAACATACAGCCAATGCCTTCCCCCATTTTATGCTAGTCTCAGAAAAAATCTGCAGCAGAGCTAACACTTAGACCTTTGCTTAGGACTTCAAAGGCAAACGACTTGTAATACTCATACCCATCCTCAGGAAAGTCACTATTGCCAAAATATAACACTGATTTGAGAAAAATCTTATAAGAATAAAGAACTTTAAAAGAAACGAAAAAATAAAAGTCCAGCTTCTCTTTTTTGTGTCATTGTTCTGTGCATGATTTCTGATTGGTTGGATTATGTATTTATTTAGGTAGGTTTATATACTGCTCCAGTCATGACTGACTCTAAGTGGCTTACCGAGCTCCAAATAATAATAGGATTAAAAGCAATATTCAGCAACAAAAAAATAAAGTACCCAGATGCTGAGGAATAGCCATAAAACATATAAACATTCACCCTCTAGGACATTTGGATAAAGGTAATTCCCTCTCCCCCTCTCTCTCCCTCTCTCTCTCTCTCTCTCTCTCTCTCTCTCTTGTTGTTGTTAGCAATGTTGTAAATTAGTTAACTTATTTTTCCTCTCTCTTTCCTCAAAAGATGTTAAAAAGGTTGCCTAAATAATTCAATTTCATCAAAAACTATATACTCAAGTGGAGAAGTAACAGGCAACTTTCTCTGAGACAAAATAGTTCCTTTTCTTCACTGCATTGGAAATAATTAGAATAACTCACTGACTCTCCCTAAGTCCAGATTTTTCTGTGGATAAAATGGGAAAAGAGAAAAATAAGATAGATATATAATATAAACAATACAAACCAATATAAACCTTGTAAACCAAGACTTGGTATGGCTAAGACACTAAACCAACATATTATTCTACATTTCATCTCTTTCTTCTTTGATTATAGATTTTGCCAAAATATGAAGACAAAGAGGAATCCCTATGATGACAACAATAAAAATCAGGAAATGTTTGTGCACAACAACTAAAAACATGAATGTCCTCTATATATGTTATTCTTTTACTGTTCATTAAATGCACAAAACAGTATTGTTTCAGGTTGAATGTAATACAGATTCCTATTTAATCTTCAGTCCAGTTTCATACCATTTCCAATAAAAAAAACCCTTCTGCTAGAAATTATTTACATGTTTTTGCTCAATTCATTAAGAATTGAGAATTCAGGTAATGTGTATATACTGCATGCATGTGAGAATTTGACCTAGTTCTTCTAAAGAAATTCCAGTGTTTACTGTATGATTGGAATTAATAGCACTGCTTATTAAAAGAGAGAGAGAAATAAAGGAAATAAATTTAAATTTATGTAGAAGGCTATGTTATTTTAAAATTCAGAATATTATTTTGTTTAACTTGTTCTTAAATAATAAAAGTGTAGCCAAGGAGGAAAAAAAGAGGCATGAAAGCCCCATGAATAGGAGTGTAGGATTATACTTGGTTTCAGAACCATTTAAATCATACAGCAGGTTGACAAAAATCTAGATTTGATCTTGTCAGGCACAGCCCATCAGCCTTTTTCATGGCCTGCTAGGTGATTAAGAGTACTCTTGGTCCCTTGGTGCACTAGTTTCAGCTTGATAGGTCTGCTGAATGGTGACGCTACCTCAGACCTTGTTGCATAGGCCTGAGGTATCATCACCATTTTGAAAACAAAAAGTAAAGCTCTTCAGCTTTCATTTACAAACAAGTGGTGTGCTGCTGAATCTGTTTCTACTTCTAAAATAGAATGGTTGGGGAAGCATTTTCCCCAAAGACTTACATCTAATTTCTACCTGTACAATGGGAAATAGGTATATTTCACAAGCCCTCTTCCCACTCTGGACCTTCTTCAGTTCCTTTAAAAGCAGGACTGGCTGAGGTTCACCTCCTTAAATGTGTATTATAGCCATGAGCGATGTCAGTCTTTGGGGGTTAAGTTAGGGCAGGAGGAGCCAGATCAGGTCTAATTGTTGGAATATATGCTTAGTTCAAGTTAAACAGTGGCTCCCAGGAGGAGAAGGGAATCAGCAAGAGAGATGCTGACTAGTGAAAAGAGTGTTGTTTGGGGCACAGTTTCCTGAATAGACTTGTTAAAGACCATGGCTGATGTATGCTAAGCAGGCTCAGTTGGGGAGAGAAAGGCCAAATGAGTCGGCACATCACTCTCTGAGCTAAGGCATCCACTTTGATGACTCCTTTGGAGGTAGGACAGAAAGCCAAACCTCCACTCCTTACTTTTCCTCCTCCTCCTCCTCCTCCTCCTCCTCCTCCTCCTCCTCCTCCTCCTCCTCCTCCTCCTCCTCCTCCTTCTCTCTCTCTCTCTCTCTCTCTCTCTCTCTCTCTCTCTCTCTCTCTCTCTCCCTCTCCCTCTCTCTCTCTCTTATTTCTGCCATGTAAAGATAATCAGGTTTATGTAAAGTATGTGTGCTCTTTTGACAGTCTGCGCTATCTCATTAATTCAATCACACCAAACCCCATTGTTCTCCAAGTGTTTGAAATGCGGATAGGGATGGAGGCTTTTTCAATTGTGTCAATCAATGTTAACATTTTTCTCGCAGTTGCCATGGTCGGGGCCAGAGTTCATGAAAACACAGAAGAAGAGCCAACAAAACAAGAATAAAGACTTATTTGAGATACTCTTTTTAAAGGACATCTACCATGCACAAAACATGAGAAGTAAATGTAGACAAGTTTGGAGACTATGGCACACTGTGAGGAAAAAGGGGAGGAAAAAGAATTTGAAAATCAAATAGGCCTATAAAAACTTGACCCAAGAGTTTCTGGGAAAAACCCAATGAATTGCTCCCTGGTTGAACAATGTTCTTTCTTTCGTGCGTTCTTCAAGAGGACAATGCTCGATATATTATAACACATGCCACCAATGTCTTTACACTGTTGTAAGCCAGCTCAAGCCAACTGAATGCTGATTGAGGACAACAAGAGATTGTGAAGGAGTAATTCTCTCTTTCTCTGGTTGGGCTACAAACAAGCACTGGGAAAATTATTCATGCATATAAGGCCAACAAACAGAGATGGGAGATTTGTGATGTCGTGCAGGGAGATCATGTGAATATGGTTTCCTGAAAGAAAAAGACAAAAAAAGTACACCATTCACTGATAGAAACCCTGCAACATTGTCAATTCATTTTTATGTACAGCGTCAAACTTATAATCACTAAAGGATTTTTTTTTGATACTGCATAAATAAATGAATGTACATGATTATAGCAAAGAGACTTGGTGAATTATGAATTTTCTGCAGGCTTTCCATGAAAATATTTTATTGAAAACACCTCCAGACTGTATTCAAAATTAAGATATGTTTTTAAATGAGGCATGAAAGATTTATGAAAGAAAGAAAGAAAGAAAGAAAGAAAGAAAGAAAGAAAGAAAGAAAAAAGAAAGAAAGAAAGAAAAAGAAAAGACAAGAAAAGAAAAAAGTTTCTGTCTGGATGTACAATATAGAGGAGTTACTATTTATTAACAGATTTATTTTACTGAATTTTATTTTATTTTGCTTTGCCAATTTAAATGTATACTACTTTTAATTATCCATCTTACAACCTTCATTGATAATGTCATTGAATGCTCAATAATTTGTTATATTTTGCTTCCAACTAAAGTTCACTAATTGTAATGAGTGTTGTAATAACATGCCAAACTTATGGTTGTTGAAACTGAACTTCATGGGAACACTATGTCACTGGTTTGCATTGGTTTTGGGAATTCAGAATTATTAAACTTTTATCTATATTATTGTCTTTCGCATGAAGTTAGAAAGTACAACTGAATTCCTGACTTAAGAGGCAAAATTATTTATATGTATAATCTTTGGCCTTCATAAAGCTAGTTTATAGCAGTGGTGCCTATAGTTTAAGACAATGTTTCTCAAACTTGACAACTTTAAGATGTGTAGACTTCAACTGCCAGAATTCCCCAGCCAGTCTTGCTTTTAATCAGTTTCAAGGTGACCTGTAGTGCAGATTTGAGTGTCACCTATCATACTCCTGGTCAGCTCTCCATAGAAAATAATGTAATAGTAGAACATCTGGAGGAGGCACAAAGTTGTATTAGTGTTCTATGCCCTAATCCCTAATTTTATATGCAGAAATATCCTGATCAGTTCATTGACACCACCAGCTTTTGAAAATAGTCACGTACCCATTGAAAGGTGGAACTTATTTTGCCAAACTAATAGCACAATGCCAATTTCAATGTTTGTCTTTGTGTGGCAATACAAATTCATGAATGAAAATTATATGCAGCATTTTGCTTGAAAGATAATCAACCTATTAAACAGCCCAAGTTTTTCCTCCATATCCATTATAGAACCATGGATCCTTTGAGAAAAATAGCAGCTGCCAGCAAGTTTTTTGGGCTCCTTATTAAGTCCTAGTGCTCTTCAGTAACAACTGTGTATTAGCTACACCTATGACTAGAGAAAAGACAGAAGGAAAGGAAGAGTTTTTCAGCCCTCACCAGTAGTCTCTCTCCCATAGCATCCATTGGCATACTGCTGCTTAAAGAAGTGATAATTTTCTTCATGATCATTTGTAGACATCAGCATTGGAGCGCAAAATAATTCTGTCAGAAAGACAAGTAGTGGTCAAACTGACAAACAGGCCTTTTGAAACTGATAGAGATTAGGCTAGAGAGGCCAGATTCAACACAAGCAAAAGTAGGATTTCATAGCAACCTGATGACTCTGCAGGGTCTATGACAACTTGCCACAGCCAACTCCCTGTGGTCAACTCGCCATGGGATAATTCACCATGGCCAACTCACCAACTTGCCGTGGGACAAGAGTTACACTAATATTGAAGAAATAGTGGAATAGAGTCACTAAAGAAATAATGCCAAAGGAGAGACAAAATGAAATGTGAATGACAAAAATTAAAATAATTTTTAACTACCTTAAATAATTAAATTAAATTGTTGAATTGCCTCGTAGTGAGTTGTCCTGTGGCAAACTAGCCCTGGCAAGTTAGCTGTGGTGAGTTGGCCATGGCAAGTTGTCCTATTCTGGATTTTGCAGTGGAAGAAAAGTCTAGATAGCTCCCCAAAGAACTGTGTTTCACTGCAGAAGTTTAGAAGTTATGGTAAATCAGAATGAAAGAACAGGCTGCAACAAGAAAAAAGGTTAGAAGGCAATGGTTTATGATTAGCCTTGTCTCAGGAATGACAGGTTCAATAATGGGAATAATATGAAACCAATTGCTAATCTGGAAAAATTCTGGTTCACTCCGAATACAGCTATCCAGCCAGTTTTTGAAGCTTTGCTTTATCCTTGTGCTATAAAAAAAGGCCCTAAATGTTATTGATAGCAAATGTAAATAAGAAGGTTCTTTTCAACTGAACCAAAAGGATTCCTTTCCTTCTTGACCTCCTGAGATTTGCTGTTTACAGAATTTATTTCCTATTAATGCCTTTGAATTTATTTATTTTTTTTACTGCTTAAGATACAGGGGGAGTGCATGGAACTCAGAGGCGCAAATTCTAAAAATAGCTCAATCTGTCCCAGATAGAGGTATTCCTAGAGCAGGAACAGTACTGAGTTATTGATTTGCATGGATGTGCAGAGCGAAAGTGGAGATAAATTTGGATTAGCAAGCAAAACTGAGCCCTGTTGTTAACTGGCACTTGATTCCATTAGACTGTGTCGGATTGTTAAAAATGCTAACATTATGTGTGACTATTCATTTTCATCACCTGCTCTTGATTAATCCAGCCCTAAATGGCATCTGCAGACCCTGCAATCTCATACTACTTAATTAAATTAGCAACACATTTGTCTCCCCCGTTTTCCTATCAAAGAGTTGCGCTCAGGAGAAATAAAACCTTTGTTCACTGCAATGCCGTATAATTTACACTCTCCCTCCCCCCCCCTTCTTCCAGCTCCTGGCTCAGATGCTAAATTGTAACTGGTAATAGGAAGCTATTAGCTCTAGTGAAGCGTGTCAAAGGAGTTAGGAGTCAGAGGAATCCAGGTCTGAAAAAAGGGAGGCCCTGGCGCTTATGGAACAACAGGGTCAGAATTCGAGATTTGGGATTACATTGTACTGAGATGCATTCATTTGTTGAATAAAACCAAGATGACCTTTATGCGGTTGGAGGTGGGGTGAGACGTAAAAAGAGAGATGGCT